CGCGTTGATCGGGTGACTCTGTGACGTCCCCGCCATTGCTATTGTTGTCGTTGTTAACGACTACTGGTGTGGCGCCCATTTCGCCGTCGTTGTTAACGACTTTTTGCCGTTTATTCGCCTGCTGGTTCAGCAGTTGATCGGCATCTGATTGATGACCATTCTGCTGGTCGTTAAGGCCTTCTTTGTCTGACAAAAGTGGCCTTTTTCTGGCAGGTTCTGCCGTGTGCCTTTGGGTACTAAATTGCTTAAGCGACTCGTTTACAGCAAGCATGTTTGTATTCAGTAACGAGATAGTCGACAGGAATTCTTTGTTTAGATTGATTGAAGGCTCTTCGTCTTCTGAGAAAAGAAGTTCGTCTTTGTCTTCAGGTTCTGCCATCGGAAATATGTCAAATGAAAAGTATTTTGTCCAAACAAGTCAAACGAAATTTTTTTCTAAACCAAACGCTCTGAAATCACGCTCGAACTGAATGCTCCGATCTCAAGCGCTCTATCTCACGTGACTTCTTTGTGAACTGACCAATGATGAAGTAGAATCAACATTGTATTTACACGTCTGAAAGCGTTCATTTCAAGCATTAATTAAAAGCGAATAAATTATTGTCCGTCAGTTTCACTTTGCTATAATTTAAACAGGCCTGGTTGTAGACCTTTTGTTTGAATATGATTTGACAATAAGGTAATTTGCACGGAGATATGGCATGGACAGTCCGGCAACTACCAACTATGTTTAGAGCATTATATGGCGTTTTAAAAGAACGATGCTTTGCGTGCTATTTCATGGGTTAACTAAATGTTCTTTGGCTGTCAAAAAGCACACTACACTATACTCAGTGCATACATAACATAGTTTAATTTATGCATGGGCATTGTGCATGCAACGTAGCCAGGGGCAAGTCAGTAGGATCGTGCATGGGATTGAAGTATGTGCATTGAATATTTTTTACAATTGATCATGCTTTTGTTATTGCATGTGTCAAAACATTAAAAACAATGTCCTCAACTCTACAGGGTGCATCAAAAAACCTGGAAACTTTGAAGTACAGGGTGTCCTCCAAAAAAGTACCCTCTATAGAAATTATCACATTGTTATAATTTGAATGCCTGAGCACTATGCTGAACACAAGAGCGCGTAAACACAATTGAATTGAATTTTTAATTACCGGGAGCATGAAAAATCCTGGGCTTAACAAGAATAGGATAATTTCTATAGATGGTGATTGAACTAATTGATCCCAAGCATGCGTAAACACCGCAATAGTTGACATTCGCAGTCGAACTGATAATTAGTTGTTTGCATTACAAATAACTTTTTGTTATTCTAATTTCTATCAACGCGGTTAGTTAGAATGTATTTTCAAATCCCAGGAGCAAAACAAGTAGCACAAACATTGAAATGCTGGTAAGCAGCAGAATTATGCAAATTATAATGTTTGCAGGTTTTTTGAACACCCTGTAGTTTTCGAAGTAACGTGGCTTTAATTTGACGTCCTTGGATGCACATTTTGCTCCATGACCGGGTTATTCGATATTCAGTTCTTAAACGATCGACTTCACTTCAGTAAAATCAAAAGAAAGGCAATTTGGCGAAGAAGTATATTCAAGCGAAGTAAAATATCAGCTAAGCACTTTACTTTACTCCTTCTTTAGCCTGGTTCACATATATGTCTGCGGTATACCTGCGCTATCATTGTTCACAGCTTTTCAGAGCAGTTGTTGTCAATAGCCCGCCGACATACCGCAGGTGTAAGTAGGTATATGTGAACCGGGCTTTTATGTTTACTAGGCATTTAAAAGTCCGTGCTTTATCAGCTAAGGGACGGACCATTAGAAAAGTGATGGGGGGGGGGATTTTCTAAGAGGCAATATATTTTTTTTTTGTACACTTATAGAAGAAATTTTTTTTTTTCTCACTTGATGGTTGGAAATATTTTTTTTTAAAGGGCCCTACAGTAATTTTTTAGTCAAGTAAGTATTGTTTACATTTTTTGTTATTGTCGCTACTTGACATGCGCACCACAGTATGCATGCGTTTTCTGTGTGCGAAAGTACTCATACTCATGGATACTGCATGTAAGATACAGCCAAACGAATCTCCGTGGAGTCCCCTACTTAAGGTGGCTTTCGACTAAAAAATGACTGTAGGGCCCTTTAAGTGAAATTTATAGGCCTATTAGTGGTGTAGTCCTGGAATGTTAACAAGGGGGGCTCTCCAAAGTGCCCTGAATTGGCGGGAGGGGAGGTACAATAAGATATTTTAGAAATTCTAAATTTTGTTGGGGTTTATTCTAGTAATTCTGGGACAAACATTTGACATTATTCTTATTAAAAACAAGCCGAAGCGAGGGCCGAAGGCCCGAGGAAATTTTTAAATTTAGAGTCTCTGAAATGCCATTTCCTGGACTTTGGGGAAGATTTGACAGAATTCTGATGGTCAGAAAACAGCGTTTTAGTATGTCGAAATTTACAATTTAGTGGTACTAAATGATATAAAGATTACAAAAATGGCGATATAAAGATTACAAAAATCATTGTGTCAAATGATGAGTGAAAATGAGATGCAATTCTAAAGAACATTCTCGTTTACTGGTATTTCTTTGTGTGTGTTTTCGCACGTTGTTAAGATTATCAATTATGCAACGTGCCATAATATAGGGGGGCTCATCACGCTGGTCACATTCAGCAAATTTTCTCCCAGGATCGCAGGCTCATATTGTCAGTGGACTTGCGGTGTAAAATTGAAACTTTTGCATTTTTCAAAGAACTGGCCACTTTCTGTAAGATGTCCGCTGTCAATACGAACCCGCACGAGTGGGAGAAATTTTGCTAAATTTGACCAACGTGCAGCCCCCCAAGTCAACATGAAATTTCAACAAGGGGGCTCAGCTCCCCTGAGCCCTCCCTCCAGTCCACCACTTGGCCTATCTTCTAAGCAAGGAATTTTTTTTTTGGTTTTGCCCCCCCCCCCATCACTTTTCTAATGGTCCGTCCCTAAAATATTCGAGCTGCGCTCACGTGTTTTATATCTGATAAAGCACTCCTGCTCGCGTTTTAAATAGTACATACCGGACAGTCTGCACTAACTGTACTGTTGGGTCTTGTGACTTTTGAAGTATATGTGTGGTCTTTAATAGTGATACAGTGTATCGTTGTTGTGTAATTAAAAGCATTGAATAATCTGTGTGCTCTTAAAATAATTATTGGCTGATATTGTGGTCTATAGGGAAAAGGTTCCAAAAATGGGTGCAAGTTTCCATACTATTGTCGTTCTGATGTCACAGATATTAGAGTAACGGTAGGATAGAGAGGTTAAGAAAGGTTTATGGTTAGATTCTCGTGTTTCGCGCACAATAAAGCTAGGGTAGGGATGGGTTGTGATTACGGTCAAGATCAAAGATATATATTTGTGACCGAAACAAGGATTTATTCATATTTACAATATGTTATTATTCATATTTACATATTTACAATGTTGAGCTTACTGTCAGTTACGATGGGTTAGGATTTCACGAGGTGGTATTTAAACTGGGGTGCTTGTTAATTTGGAAAGATGAGGCCGTTTCTTATATATCGTCAAATTAAGGAGCAAGTCAGCATTTATACTACTGATAAGTACACTAGTATTAGTTGCATTCATTCTGTGGTTTCAGTGTTATATATCGAATTGAACCGTCACCGTTCTGTTGTTAGTAGAAGCTTCGAAATCCTATATAGCATGGCAAAAATATCGACTAAAGTACGTGATAGCGTTATGTTTTTTGCTCAGTTTGGAAGTTAAGATACTTATCTATAATTACCATGTATCAGAATTTGGGTTGTAGAGTGCCCGATGAAAATTTAGGCAATGTATTTTGGCAATTTTGTTTATGAAATGCACACAGGAACTCTGCTCTTTCTTTACACTCAGGGCCTGTTTATATGATCCCGGCCAGGCGGGACGGGATGCTTACCGAGATCCCGTTCGTAATACAAATTCTAAAGAGTGTTTATATGATCCCGCCACTTATCCCGCCTAGACGGGATCTCGGCAACTGATACCGGGATCCCGCCTGAGCGAGATGAAAAATTCCCATATGAACACTTCATCCCGCCTGGCCGGGACGAAAAATTCCCATATAAACACTTCATCCCGGCTAGGCGGGATGAGTTTTTCCCTTTTGAGCATGCGTAAATGACTTTATTGCAACAAAAATATGACGTCAAGCACTTAAATGGCTTCATCCCGGCAATGTATTTTGTCCATATAAACACTAGGCGAGTTTCCCGTCTAGGCGGGATGAAAACGTCCCGTCCCGTCTAGGCGGGATCATATAAACAGGCCCTCATCACTGTATAGTGTATACGTAAATAAAACAGACGGAACACATATAATTTGAATATTTCATATACTGCAAGATATGTGTCCAAAGAATGACGCGTGCGACTTTCACTGATCGATTTTTATTATAACAGAGCAAAATAACACAACTATAGTCTAGGATAAATTGTTAGCATGACCGCATTCTCACGTAATGCTTTAGCATAATTTTACTCAAGTGGGGATCAATCATGAATCATTGAACTGAGGTCAACTAAAACAACAAAGAAACAAAATGGCTGTCAACGCATCTTATGTAAATGAGTTCTCCGAGCATTGTAAAAGCCAATATAATTGCTGCGGAGCGAGCGAGCCTTAAGCGAGCGAGCGAAGCAGCAATCTAATTTGTGTAGGGGAGGCATTTTCTTAAATTTTCCAGCGTGTTGCATTGTGGTCATGCGCAGTTAATTTGCGCACTACACAATATTCGGTCGTATGGTTTCACGTGTCAATATCTCAAGTGAGTCAGAGCGAATTTGGGATTTTTATGAGATTGTCGACGTTCGGCGTTTGTATGTTTAATTATCATATTTGTACGCGACAGATTATTCTATAAATTCAATCTCACTTATGACTTAATATTTGATTTTTTTTGCTGCGGAGCAATTCAATCTCACTTATTTCTAAAGCTTTTTTTCAAGTCTAATGTTACGTTTACATTTGTTTACTCCTTTTTGGAAAGTTGGCGATCTCAATTTTTATATCTACGGTATGAAACGCTGAAATCACACAAACGATCGCAGCTAGATTCCGAGTGTCTGTTTATATATAAACTATATATTCTACTATTAATGAATATTGTGCCCTCGACTTATGGAAGTCTTACATAGAGATGTCTTTAAAAAGTTTTTCTATAGATTCGCGTTTGCTTTCTCTTGCTGATTTCCATATTTTGCATCAAGTGATGTTTCATGTATGTGTGGAAGCACAAGTGTTGAAAGGCCTTCGGCAGTCCGGCTTCCGATTTTTGTTCTTTAATTAAGCACAAGTTTCCAAAACGATTCGGTGTTCTAATTTTCGTT